AGAAAGAGATGCTTTAAAAGTTTTTTTTTTCATAAACACAGAAGACTCTTCAGAACAAATTCAGAACTATATTTTCTTATTTAGAATTTATTTATTTGCCACATCAGGAACTTTAAAAACCTTGAATATAAACTCCAAAGGGTTAAAAATTGTCGAAAGCCATCCATGTTTTTTCCTGTAACTGAAGCGTGGGAACCCATAACCTGTTTTATTCACACCTCTGTACCGTAGTGTGAAACCCACAGCCTTTATACCTCACCACCCTGACCACTCTCAGCATCATCACCAGTCATTTGTGCCACACAAACAGCTTTAGCACGTTTTTTTTTTTTTTCTAGGTCTGTTTCTGCACAAAATTTTCTTGTCTGGTCCTATATCCCTAAATCCATCAGTTTACCTACCAAGAACCTGGTTGCCAGGCCTTGGTTCTGTTTTAGCTTAGAAACCAAGAATAATAATAAAAAAAAAAAGAAAGAAAAAAAATAAAATATATATATTTTATCACATTCTATGACATACGGCATAGAATGTGAAGAAATAACAGTATTTCCTCACAACCCTGTCCTCTCTGACCACTTTCTAATAACCTTCAGGATTACTTTAACAGAGTTCTCCTCCCCCAAAAGAAGGTTACATTTTAGTAGATCTTTATCAGATAGTGCAGTTATAAATTTTAAAGAATCTGCTTCACTTTCTCTCTCCTCTTTGTCGCTGAGCAGTGCTGCAGAATGCAAAAGCATAGCTTATTCCCCTTCACAGGTTGATGATTTTGTTGATGGGGTTGCTAGTTCTCTGCGTGCTGCCTTAGACAATGCAGCTCCTTTGAAAATGAAAACCGTTAAAAATAGAAAGCTTGCTCCTTGGTTTAATGCAGAGCTGCGTACTTTGAAGCAAAATGCTAGGAAACTGGAGAGAAAATATCGCTCCACAGGCCTGCGGGAGTCCTTCCTAGTCTGGAAAAATGGTTTACTGCTGTATAAGAGGACCCTTTGTAAAGCAAGAGCAGCATACTTCTCCTCATTAATAGAGGGGAATAAGAATAATCCTAGATTTCTTTTTAATACAGTTGCCAAACTCACCCAGAGCCATAGCTCTGTTGAACCGTCCATTCCACCTGCTCTTAGCAGCAATGATTTTATGGGATTCTTTATAAATAAGATTGAACTTATTAAAAATAAGATCATAAGCACTCCTCTATCCGCGATTGTACCTGAGGTAGTCATGGAATCTGAACCGGGTTTAGACTGCTTTGATCCAGTTGAACTCTCTGAATTAGCAAAATTATTGTCTTCATCTAAGCCTTCAACTTGTAAGTTAGATCCAGTTCCAACCAGGTTATTTAAGGAGGCATTCCCTTTGATCTCCTCCTCCATTTTAGATGTGATTAATTTATCTCTGTTTCAGGGATATGTACCTAAAGCTTTTAAGGTTGCTGTAATTAAACCTCTGCTTAAGAAACCGTCTCTTGACCCAGATGACTTGGTTAATTATAGACCTATATCCAATCTTCCTTTCTTATCCAAAATTCTTGAGAAAGTAGTTGCCAAGCAAGTTTGCGATCACTTACACCATAATGAACTTTTTGAAGAGTTTCAGTCTGGCTTTAGAGCTCATCATAGCACTGAAACAGCTCTGGTGAAAGTCACTAATGATATTCTCATGGCCTCAGATAATGGACTTGTATCTGTGCTCGTCCTGTTGGATCTTAGTGCTGCATTTGATACAGTTGACCATAATATTCTTTTAGAAAGACTTGAACATTTTGTTGGAATTAAAGGAACAGCATTAGACTGGTTTAAATCTTATCTATCTGATCGATTTCAGTTTGTTCATGTTAATGATAGATCTTCAACATGCTCAAAGGTTACCTGTGGAGTACCACAGGGATCAGTGCTAGGACCAATTCTCTTTACTTTATACATGCTCCCAATTGGTAGAATTATTAGACAGCATGGGATTAATTTTCACTGTTATGCTGATGATACCCAGCTATATCTGTCTATAAATCCAGATGAAGCTAACCCATTACATAGATTACAGGCATGTCTTGAAGACATAAAAACCTGGATGACTCTTAACTTTCTGCTTCTGAATGCAGACAAAACAGAAGTTATAGTCTTTGGACCAGAGTCTTTGAAAAATAAGCTGATTAGTCAGTCACTTCATTTGGATGGGATTAAACTGATTTCAGATAATAAAGTAAAAAATCTTGGTGTTGTTTTTGATCAGGACCTGTCATTTAAATCCCATATCAAAGAGGTTTCTAGAATTTCCTTCTTTCATCTGAGGAACATTGCAAAAATTAGAAATCTCCTGTCCAGGGGTGATGCTAAGAAACTAGTCCATGCATTTGTTACTTCAAGGCTGGACTATTGTAATTCTTTACTATCAGGAAGTCCACAAACTGTAGTTAAGAGTCTTCAGCTGATCCAAAATGCTGCAGCCAGAGTTCTGATGAAAATTAAAAAGAGAGATCACATCTCTCCTATCCTGGCTTCTCTTCATTGGCTTCCTGTTAAATCAAGAATAGAATTTAAAATCCTCCTTCTCACATATAAAGCCTTAAATGGCCAAGCTCCATCTTATATCAGAGATCTGATTGTTCCTTATGTTCCTAACAGAGCACTTCGCTCTCAATCTGCAGGTTTACTAGTGGTTCCTAGAATTTCTAAAAGTAGAATGGGAGGCAGATCTTTTAGTTATCAGGCTCCTCTCCTGTGGAACCAACTACCAATTTTAGTCCGTGAGGCAGACACCCTGTCTACTTTTAAGGCTAGGCTTAAAACTTTCCTTTTTGATAAAGCTTATAGTTAGAGTGGCTCAGGTTATCCTGAGCTATCTCTATAGTTATGCTGCTATAGGCTTAGACTGCTGGAGGACATAGGGACCATTTCATCATTCTGCTTCATTCTCTCTCTGTTCTCCTATTCTGCAGAATCTGTTAGTTCAATCTCTAACCTTCTGCTCTATCTGCTTTTCCTCAGAGTAGCTTTGCCTCGTCTGTTCCTGTTTGGCTGTGACGTCATCCTGGAAAGAAACATCAGCTGTGCTGTGACTGGGTGGATGTGCTTTCTTCGTCCTCTGACATGGGAGCTGGCTCGGAGCTCGTCAGCCTGGCTGTGTGTTTCCTGGACGGGGCCGCCTATTACAGCTGCTTTTGTGTCTCTGCTTCCGTCTTCTTGAACCCAGTCGGCCTCGGCAGATGGCCGCTCACACTGAGCCTGGTTCTGCTGGAGGTTTCTTCCTGTTTAAAGGGAGTTTTTCCTCTCCACTGTCGCTACAAGCATGCTTAGTGTGAGGGATTGTATTGAGTCAATGAGTCGATGCAATCAACTGGTTTTCCTTAGATGGAGAACTTTGTATCAATTTGACTGTATGATCTGGTTGAACTGTGAAGTGCCTTGAGATGACATGTGTTGTGAATTTGGCGCTATATAAATAAACTGAATTGAATTGAATTGAATATATATATATATATATATATATATATATATATATATATATATATATATATATATATATATACATATATACCGGTATATATATATATTTTTTTTTTTATTTTTTTTTTTTTTATACAAACTCTTTCAAGTATGTGAGTTCTTGTCAGGTGACACTTAATTGTGAATCATTTTCATAGTATATAGACAGACGTGATTGTGGGCAGGATGTATTGCTTGGTGTCAAACTGACAGTTTATGCAACAGCAGTGACAGGAACTACATGCTAACAATACTTGAGGTTTACAGTATGTAAAATCCTCGTTTCTCAATTGCAACAAAAGCTTGAAGACAGTAACTACAGGTATCTTACACCAGTTGCTGTTTCTTATCAGAGTTTTAGTCTTTTTAAAGATGGCTAAAGACAGTTGGGATTTTTTTTCTGACTTTTTTCTTATAAAAAAAAAAAATCTAAATTATAAATAAATCTTGTGAGGTTTTAAAGTCTGCATCATTCTCCTTAAATATTATTGGTTCTCATGGTATCGTCACTTAATTATAGTCCTACCTTTGATAAGGTGCTTTAATAGCCTTGCCTTGTGAAGAGTTGGTTGTTTATTTCACGTATAATCTTTACTTCCTGTATGGAGCGCTAACTGTTAGATGTCCTCAGTAACCATAACTTAGTCAAAGATCAGGGAGTTCAATCCTCTATTTAAACAGTTTTTACAACTACCTCGATGCTTATAGAATATCCAGCCATCCATTTTCTAACACACTTATCCCGAGGGGGGTCACGAGGGGTGCTGCTGCCTATTTTCAGCAGTAATTGGGAGAGAGGCGGGATACACCCTGGACAGGTCGCCAGTCCATCGCAGGGCAACACAGAGACAAACAGGACAAAACAACCATTCACACACACACACTCACACCTGAGAAGGATTTATAGAATTAACCTGTGGGAGGAAGCCGGACTACCCAGAGAGAACCCATTAATGCTCAGGGGGAACATGCAAACTCCATGAAGAAAGACACCGGGGAATTGAACCCAGAACCTTCTTCCTGCAAGGCAGCAGTGCTCAGATCGATTAATTGATGAAAGCATGAATGCTGCCCTTTAGCAGAAAATCCTGAAAACAGAACACCTACTTGAAGTGCAGACTTAAATCCAACAGATTCCATGGCATACTGCAATGGCAATACCTTTAAAGGACATTCCCAAAATATCCCTCAAAGTTATATCAAGTTTATTCAGATAGAACATTCCATTTTACAGTCATAAGCCAATTGGGCAAAGTGATGTACCCACCAACTTTTGCAAACTGTCATTGACAGATATTACTCTTGCAAAGAAATCAGTTTACAAAGATGTAGATAAAACTTAACTGTTTGTCTGGAACCAAAAACGGTTCTAATTAAAGTTACTGAAAGTACCTTGGAAATAAGAAGTAGTCTGGTTTTGCTTCCTATTTGGTTCCAGTCACCTTTAGCTGATATGAATTTGCCTTTTTTGGGTCTGGTGTGAGAGGTCAAAATTGATCCTCCACGTTAGAGTTAGCCAAAAGGTCGTCTGACAACAGAAGCATCGCATAGACCCTCTTAAAATCATGAATCTGGATGAACTGTGGTTTACTATGCTACTACCTTTTTGTCTGTGCTTGGAAACTGAAGGTACAGTAATCTAATCTTTTCTGCATTTATTGTATGAAAATAATGTTTTTCTTATTCTTGCAACTATTCTATTAAGAACAATAATTTTCAGTGATTTTTACGTAGCTCCAAAATTGTATAATATTTGCTTAATTGCAGAACTTGCACTGGAAACTATTCGTAGAGGCACCAATAATTCCTCTCTCTGCACCACACCCTTGCTGCGTAAAATCACTTGGCTTATATGCAATATCAGAACAAATCGGACCACCATAGAAGACAGCTGTTATCTGCAGTTTGATCCTGAAATGAGCTCTGGAGCTCAATGTGGAGAACGGTTCACTCTGAAGACGGAGAATAGAAGAGTGTTTCTGCTGAAAAATTCAACTCCAGAACACAGTGGGCACTACCTGTGCGAGTGCTCGTATTTTAATATTACCACTGAAGGTACCTGTTGGCTTTTTTTTCTAGCTTCCTTATATAATTTAAAGGAGAATTACGGTTTTTAACACTTTTAGCCCATTTTCTGTAGTGTCCAGGATGAAATCGAATGATCAACACCAAAATTTTGACAATTGGTCCTGTACACAGAGTGAAGCGAAAAGACTACAACTGTGTAAACAGGCCCCATTTCCATTTCCGGTGGCAGGGGAATATTGACTATTCCAACAGAACTCAATGGGATTTACAAAATGCTAAATAAAATACTACAGGAACGTTTTTTCTTTACGAAACTTTTTTTGGAACGTCATTGAACAGCGCTGACGACCCGGTGAGTAGCATATTTTAAAAAAAGAACGTTTAAGGTTGTTTTAAGGACATTATCGGACATGCACTATGGAAGCCATTCTGAAGCAGCCAGGGGGGGATTCTGCATGAGCCAAAAAGCAGAGACAGGACCAATTGTCAAAATTTTGGTGTCGATCATTCGATTTCATCCTGGACACTACAGAAAATGGGCTAAAAGTGTTAAAAACCGGAATTCTCCTTTAACAACTACTGAAGGTCTAAAGTTGTTTAGTTTGGTTTAATTTTTATGCCTATTTAATAAGTAAATACATGATTTCTGCAGAGATGTCAAGTAACAAACTAAAAATACTTCGTTACTGTACTTAAGTACTCTTCTTAGGTATCTATACTTTACTACATTACTTATTTTTCTTCCTACTTCTGACTTCTACTCATTACATTTTCACACAAGTATCTGTACTTTGTATTCCTTACATTTTTAAAGCAAACGTTACATGTTACTCTTGGCTTCGGTTTAATATTTATAAATATTTATTTCACGTCACTTGTGCCATCCAATCCACATCTAGTGAAAACTAGTGTAATTGATGAGTCATATAACGCAGACACTCATTGGTTAGCTAAAGGAAATCATCAAAAGCAAGCAGGTGTTCTTCAAACTGTAAACGTGAATTGTCTATGCCATGCTACGATGTTTGATTCAGAAAAAGATGTTGAGATGTCTGAAAGGTCACAGATGAGAGCGTATCGGGAGATGGAGACGGAGACCAACAAGACCTCTCTCATCCTTGGCACTATCTTAAAGAATTTTTCGAAATAGTCGAAAAATTGAGCTTTCAATTCTTATAGTGGCATCTGGTTGTTTACTTTATACTTTTATACTTTCAGTAGTTTTTGGAGCACGTACTTTTTCAACTTTTGCTTGCAGAGGTCAAAGTTGATACTTCAACTTTTACCAGAGTGTTTTTAAACTGCAGTATCTATACTTCTACTTAAGTAACAAGTGTGTGTATTTTTGACACAACTGGATTTCTGAGATCATCTGATGAACTGAATACTCTCGGTTCCAGTTCATTTTCAACAGCAATTCTTATCAATTTAATGATTTTTTCTCCCCATTGGAGGTGGGTAGAGAACACAAAAATTGCAATCAAGTAAGAGTAGCAATACTTTAAAGGTATATTGGAGGATGTTCTTTTTCCGGGTGGATCATCAAAATAAGTGGTCCTCCTAATTGTCAATCATTATGTTTATGTAAGGCCATTCTATATGCCCATCCCCAATTTCAAAAGAAGATTTGCAATTTTTCCGCTATGTGAGTCTGACATAGTGGAAAAATCGCAAATCTTCTTTTGGAAAGTAAGCTTGTATGACAGATGCTAACAGCAATGTTTGAACAGAGCATGCACGAGGAGAAATCGGCTCTTGCATGCTCTCACACACTCTTAATAGGGGTTCCCTACTAGGAGCGGGTACAGGGTTGTGCATGTGCATTCTTTTTCAAAGTGGAGAAGGCGAGTCTTTTCAAAAATTCGCAAAAATCCTCCAACATTTTTTTATCCTTTAACATTTTTTGACTCAAGTCAAACTGACAAAGAATTCGGTAAAAAGGCTACTTAAGTACTGAGTAAGGGTTGGATAATAACGTCAGATTTAAAGGTAAAGTGGAGGATTTTCTCCTTCCGGGTAGATCATCTAAATAATTGTCAATCATACTGATGATATGTTACGTAAGGCTGCCCTACGTGCTCGTTAGCTATCTTTTTCTGCGCATGCTCATTTCAGACATATATTATGGTGAGCTGCGGATTCAGACTGTCATTCAAACTCACCATTCTCACTGCTGCTCTTTAAAAATTGCAGGGTTGTTAGAGAAAAGGTGTCTAAGAAGTGTATGAGAAGAAAAGAAAGGCCTCAGAAGGACCAGATATATATAAAATGCTTTGCATGGAGAGCTGTCACAGTGGCCCGCACTGATAACAAACATGGCGCAGGCACTGCGCAGTGGAGGAGGAGTTACATGACCAACGGGGAGCAAAAAGCAGTGATCATCTGTCCGAACGGTAAAATAACTGAATTAAAAATAAAGTCCACTACATTGTCCCTGCTCTATATAGTGATTGAGGGATTTAGGGGTTAGGGCGGACGTTTGGACACGGAAAGTTTGTATGAACTATGAGAACAGCAACTTTTAAACAGAGCGTGCGCAAGGAGAAATGGGCTCGGGCATGCTCTGATATTCGTATAATAAGCGTTCCCTCTTGAGAGCGGGTACAGGGTTGCGCATGCGCATTTTTTTAATGTGGAGAGGGCGGGTTTTATAAAAAAAAAAATCCTCCACTACACCTTTAATGTTTATAAATGGTGCTGGAAAACAGACTTTGTGTGCAAGTTCTAGCATTTTAAACACTCAAGTGCCTTAAGAATAAAAGAAGTTGTCATGAATATTAAAGAACAAATTTGTGCAGAGGAAATACTTTTACCAATTTTTTTTTTGCCAACATAAAACCTAAAAAAAACCTAATCCTTACAATGAGAACTGCATATATGTTAGGGGGTAATGTTAATATCTATCGTTCACTGTATGTTTACCTGATTTTAGAAGTGTTCCAAATTACTCACGAAGCACAGACTAGTCAGAGATTTTACTCAAGAAGGAGTAGTGATACTTAACAGGACTATTACTCAAGTAAATGTAAATGTAACTGAGTAAATATAACTAATTTCTACCTACCTCTGCTCCCTATGCATTCTTTTCTCTATCAAATCTTTCAAAACTAGGTTTTAAAGTCATCGGTTCTGTGTAGCCTTTTAGAAATTTAATTTAAACTTAATTTCTGTAAATTATTGGATCATAACTAAACTGTTAATCTTCCATGATATATTCTAAATCCTGTTTAAAGACTCATCAGTCATCTGAGGCATTTTGTTCTATCACCCTCTTGTATTTCAATCCTTTCAATACTCTTTCAATCATGTTTTGAATGATGCTCTACCTTTAATAATCATTTAATAAACATTTAATAATCATGTTCAGATATAATGTTTTCTAAATGTGCTACCAAAAAACGTATCTCTGCCTTCAATGAGATGATCCTTCTATATATCTATGTATTTGTAATGGATTTTGTGTTTGGTTTCATCTATTTTTACAGAGGAAGCCAACTTCTCTCCGCTCACAGTGATCAGTTGTATGATGGCGATTAGTGTGGTAGCTGGAGTAACCATCACAGCTGGAGTGTTATTTGGACTTACCCTTAGAAAAAAACATAACAGGTGATTATCAAGGACTCTTCCAGCAGTAGTTTAATTTGATTTCAATCTGTGCTAGTTGTACCTATCTGTTAAAAAGCCTGAAATAACCATCTAATTATTATATTTGACTAATCTACAGCCAAAAAATAAACCAACATAAAGGCTTCATAGTATTTTGACATTTTTTTTTTTAGTGATTGTTGCATAAATTGTTGTAGGATTAACTTAATTTGAAAACAGGAATCAGTTGTTATATTTTAGGTAATATTTATTGATTTAACTTTCTTCCTTTCTCCTTTTTTCAGATGCCTCAGACAATCTTCAGGACCTAAATTAGATGCAAGTACAATCCAAAGCATCTACATGAAATACTTCTACACTCTTTTTTTAAATAGAAACGTGGAAAATCTAAAAAAAAAAAAAAAAAAAAAAGAAACGCCATGCTGCTAGTACACCTGGACCTTCCCAATAGCACAAAATAAATTAAGAGGATATTAAATTAAATATTTTCATCTCTAAACACGTTTTTTTTAGTTGATCTGAGGACCAAATATCTTTTGATTATCAGGGTTAGCAGAGTTCTGGTCTAGAGATCAGACATGTTTAGTTATATTATAAAAGTGAAAAAGTGCTGTCATGGTTTTGGAAGCTTAAAGGTTTTCACATCACTTCTGACACATTTTAACTATTAGCTTAATGTATTTTATGTGACAGGCTAACCTTAATTAGCTGTCAAGTTAGAAAGTAGTTTGAACAGATCAGATTATCTTCCTCCCAATATTTGCTGTGTTTCCTCCATGTTTCTATTATGGATTGATTTCAACCATTCAACCATCTTAGCAATCTTCCACAAAGCCAAGATTAGTTTTCCTGTCTACAGTTCCGTGCAACATGGACTGTTCAGAGCAATAGTTTTGCTATAGTTACCATAATCCCCTTGGCTATGCTTCTGATATGTAGATGCCTTGAACAACTCTGGATGGGTGGTCATTTCTTGGTTGCTCTGCAGTTGTGCCATTCTCCGATGTACAGGGGAATGTTGACCTGAGCTCTATTTTTTTTTGTATTTTATATACTCTAATAATCCCAGAGGGAAATTACTTCTCTGCATTTAACCCATCCCCTTGGGGAGCAGTGGGCTGCCATTGTGCGGCGCCCGGGGAGCAGTGTGGGGTTAAGGGTCTTGCTCAGGGACCCAGAGTGGCAGTCTGTGGGAGTAGGGGATCAAACTCACAATCTCAGGATTCAAAGCCCTATGGCCTAACCACTAGGCCGCCACTCCCTCTATTAGATGCTTAAAGCATAGGATCATGTTTTAAAAACTGAACATGCCTCAATCAGTACTTTAACGTCCTTCCTGGCCTGCCTGAACATGATGCTGTTCACTGTTCAGTGGTGTTTTCTATCAAACTTCTGAGGCCTTCTTAGAACAGAACATTTAATTACAAAAAGTTAGACTCTATTTAACAAGTTTTTTTTCCCCAATTAAATAGCATTATTATTAGTCTGTTGTATGAAAAACATTAAGTGTTGTTTTAAACTAATAGGGAGACCTTACAAGGGTGTTGACACTTCGGCAACGTGCTGCATGTTTGTCTGCCACTAAAGTATTTAACCAACCAAAAGTCATCTCAGTTAAAGTTAACACCCTTTCCAAGAAGTGATGCACTTTCACACTAGGCGGGATCTGAAAGACAATTACATAGGTGTGAAAAGTGTGTTTGCCCCGTTTTTGTGTTCTAATTTTTTTCCCATGTTTGTCAGATAGAAGTGGCACGAATGTTTCAGAACATTACATTTAATCTGGGCATTTATTTGTTTAGAAACAGCTATTTACCTTCTAACCCCGAAGTAAAACACTTTGCTTCAAATTGAAGCCACCACCCATTTCATGACATGACAATGTTACATCACTTCAAAGTCAGAAATCGCACTAGATTACGACTTGAATTATAGCAGTTAAAAGTAAAAAAAAATAGTACAATTTGCATGACATAGGCCTTTGAGGCTCATCTCATATTTTCCCAGAAGAATTCTTGATGAGCCCCTTGACTTTTGGGGAAATATTCTGTTGACTGATAAAAACATTGTAGGGTACTTTTCCAATTACATCTGGTGTAAAAGTGACAGCATGTTTTAGAAAAAGAACCGGATGCCAACAATGATATATAGTGGTTAGAGTGTGATGTTTTGGTTCTGTTTTGCTGCTTCATGACCTGGGAGACATGCAATGATAAATGGAAATAGAAATTATGCTGTTTATCAAATAATCTTAAAGGAGAATATTGGGTTATTTATTTGTGATCTCAAGTTTAAACCAGTTTGGGTTCTGAAGCAGAAAAGATAAAAAAAAAAACAGCAGCAGCTTTTATCATCTGAAGAGAAACAAAATGAAGAACTTGGGTCTTCATTTTGGCCTATTCAAAGTTTTGACTTGAATCCTATCAAAATGCTATGTCATGATCGTTAAAAGGCCATTTGTGCACAAAATCCCTCCAATGTGGCTGAATTAAAGCGATTCTGCAAAGATGAGTGAGACATACCCCCTCAATGCTGTAAAAGACTCTTTGCATGGTACTGCAAACGCTTGATTGCAATTGTTGCTGCTAAACAGTTATTACATTGTTATTACTATTAGTTATTAGGTTATTGGGTCAATCATATTCAGTTTGGGCTTTTTGTTCCTCCCCTAATAAAAAAAAAAAAAAAAAAAAAAAAAGCTGAATTATAAAACTTTATTGGGTTTTTACCCATATTGTGTTTGTCTGCAATCTAAACTAATAACTCTTTGTTGACATTAGACTAAAAATCTGACATAATCTTTATCTTAATATAAACAGTTCAGGAAAGAGATAAATCTGCAACAAGCTTTTTAAAGTAGTCAACGGATGTTGATGTTGAGGCCAAACAAAGTTTCAGAAGGTCAGTGTTGGCAAACAGGATGTGGGCTGTACAGTGACCCAAATAAGCCCAGGTTTCAGTTTGACTCTGGCTTCCTGATCAGAGTTAGTGTGTCAAATGTTCGTCTGCCCAAAGTTAGGGCTGTAACCCACCAAATCACGCTTCAAAAGGTTCAGATTCTTATCTGATCTTGTTTTTTTAATTTATTAGGTGACATTTATTTTAGCCAACTTTTTTTTACTTTGTTTTTAACAGAATAAACCAGAAGACTCCTACACCAGCCTTCAGCAGCCTGCAGGAGATCTCTACCTGACTGCAGCTCCTGTGAATCATGTCTATGTGGACTCTATGGGGACTTCGTCAGTCGGCAAATATAAAAAGGGTTGTTTGACAAGCGAAGAACAACCAGAGGACATCTATGAAAACATATAAAACCTTTTTATTTTTTAGAACACTCCAGAAATCTGATGATATTGGGACTTTAACATTATCACCCTATTTAAGACACTTTATTTCTGTGCTTCCCACTGTTTTCAATTCAAGGTATTTAATTCAGATTTCCCAAATCTATAATTTTAAGACGACTACTGTAAAAGAAAATCAGAGATTTCCGATGTAAACATTGGGGGATTTGTGATATGAACTATGGCCGATCACTCAGGGCAGCAATAAAAAGGAGAGGCAGAGGTAAAGGAGAGCTACAAAAAGATAAACAGGTCTGTCAGTTAGGGGAACCGGTTTTCTGTTTCTTTATATGGTGCAAATAGGGAGGCTATTTTAAGTGCTATTATATTATCCAGACTTTAGTGCATATTTTACAGCTCTACAGCTTGGATTATTTACTAGATTTTATGGTGGTAGAAGGAGGAGCCTGGCTAGTACCTCCGTCAGAGAGTAAAAATGTACCATTAATAACTTAAGTTATTATCATGTCATCAATTTTATACCAATAAACTGTTTTTAAGTTTCATCTGTAGCATTTTTCCCCAGTTACTAATATTTAAATGTATAATGGAGGCCGTCCTACGTGCTCGTTCCCATTTTCACTTACTGGTGGTAAGTCTGACATAGTGGAAAAATTGAAAATCTTCTTTTGGAAAGTAAGCTTGTATGAGTGATGCATATAGCAACTTTTAAACAGAGCGTGCACGAGGAGACATGGGCTCTTGCACGTGTTTAACAGGTGTTCCTTCTTTGGAGTGGGTATGTGCATCTTTTTCAAAAGTGCAGAGGGTGAACATAGAGGGACAGAAAAAATGAAAAACTATTTAGCTTCATATCATAAAAGACTAAATAAACCACCATCTTTCCAGTGTGGTTATTTAAAGTTAGTGGCTAAAATCAGGTTTAGCCTTATATTATTGGTAAACTATATCTTTTTAAACAGAGACTCACAAATTAACTGAACTTCAGGGTCTGTTGTTGATGATTCTAACACATTCATCTCCATATTGTCATGTTAAGGAATGAGATATGAGAACAGGTAACAAATACGTACAGTATGAAAGGCTTATTGGTAAATGTATACTTTAAGATTTTCTCAGGGGAATGGCTGTGATCCAAGATCTCACTATGGGAACAACCTATCCCTGCCTAACTTGGTGCTAGACTTTCTGACTAACAGATCACAGACTGTCTGAGTCTGCATCAACACCTCCAGTGTTATCCCACTGACCATCGACTCCCCTCAGGGCTGCATCCCGAGCTTCCTGCTGTTCACCCTGATGACCTACAGGTCCGAAAAAGAAAAAAAATCCAGTGAGCGGCAGTTCTGTGGGCGGAAATGCCTTGTTGATGCCAGAGGTCAGAGGAGAATGGCCAGACTGGTTCGAGCTGATAGAAGGGCAACAGTGACTCAAATAACCACCTGTTACAACCACGGTGGGCAGAAGAGCATCTCTGAACGCACAGTACGTCGAACTTTGAGGCAGATGGGCTACAGCAGCAGAAGACCACACCGGGTGCCACTCCTTTCAGCTAAGAACAGGAAACTGAGGCTACAATTTGCACAAGCTCATCGAAATTGGACAATAGAAGATTGGAAAAACGTTGCCTGGTCTGATGAGTCTCGATTTCTGCTGCGACATTCGGATGGTAGGGTCAGAATTTGGCGTCTACAACATGAAAGCATGGATCCATCCTGCCTTGTATCAACGGCTCAGGCTGGTGGTGGTGGTGTCATGGTGTGGGGAATATTTTCTTGGCACTCTTTGGGCCCCTTGGTACCAATTGAGCTGCCATCCATAGTGTCAATAGCAACCACACCCTGAAGTACGCTGATGACACTACAGTTGTGGGCCTCATTCAGGATGTGATTAGGTAGCATACAGGGAGGAGGTGCAACATCTCATGGACTGGTGTCAGCTGAGCAACCAGGAGCACCAGCCCACACATCGCTTCTCATCAAGTTGTGAGTGGCACCAAGTTTATTGGGGTGCACATCACTTCTGACCTCAATTGGTCATTTCACACTACCTCCTTAGTGAGGAGGGCATAGCAGCGCCTGCACTTCCAGCTAAGAAGAACCTTACTCCCCCCTCCCATCCTCTCCACCTCATACAGAGGGACCATCCAGAACCTGCTGAGCAGCTGCATCTCTATCTGGTCTGGAAACTGCAGATGCTCAGAATGAAAGTCTTTGCAGAGGTGGTGAGGATAGTGGAGAAGATCACTGGGACCCCGGTCCCTTCCATCCGAGACACAGCAGACAGTCCGCTGCGTGTACAGTACTCACTGCATCCTCTCCAACCCCACGCACCCCCATCATGGATTGTTTACTCACCTGGCATGTTGCAGGCGGTATCCGATGCAGAACGTCCAGGCTAAGAAACAACTACTTCCCCTTGGCCATCAGACTAATCTCCACCTACACATGGACAAATATCCCCACACCCAACATTGTGTTTCTTTGTGTATTTGATCTTTAATAGTTGACAAGTGAAATAACCTGATGCATTATTTTTCTTTATTTTTTTTTTTAAATCATACACAATATTAATTTGAACCTAACCTACATACAGTTTTTGCTGTACCTGGTAGCCAAGCAACAACATTTCATTGTCAAATTTCTCTATGTGGCGTTGTTCAATGACAATAAAGGGCGTCTAAGTCTAAGTAGATGGTTTTAATGTCTGAAAAAACAAGATTATTTTGGAGGTATTTTGTCTTGAAGGTATAATTTTCAATTAATTAGGTGAATATCTTTCTAAATGTTAAGACATGGTTTTAATATTTGAAAATCCAAGATGGTTTACACTGATTTTGTCAGGAAGTGACATTTTTGTTCTGATGCACAAAACTAAATTAATTTGGTGAAGATATTTCTATCTATAATGAGAAAGAAGAACACTGAGAGCAAAGTCTGTATCACTGGTAGCTGTGGCCCCGGTTCATCTGTATGATTTGGAATCAGTACAGCGAGAGAAAATAAGGAAGATATAAACTATATCCTGTGGCCAAAACTTCATATACATTTTTGCTAATATTGTAATTTTTTAATGCTTGTATTAATTGAAAGTATAACCAAAAGTTTTGTCTTTTGGAGGACCTTACAACTCATGTCTTTTAGTCTGCGGTTTAGCCAATGAGGTAAGACGCAACACTGTTTACATTTACAGCTCAGTACAAAACCAGCAGCAGAAGAAGCACCGCAGCTTATTGTTGAAGCGGTAGATACAATCTGTTGATTATTCTCCTCGTGCCAGTTACATGTTCCTGTGATAAGTTCAAGAACTTGTGACTTAATGTTAGGTAGTTATAAATGCATAATGTGGTTTGTTTTCCTCCTGCGACTTACGCTCTGCTCCTGTGGCAAAGGTAAGATATACAATATATATATATATTAATGTTCTGTCGTCTGTTTTAATGCTGTAAAAGACACAAGCAATGTTCTATTTTTCTCTTTTACATTAAATTGTTATAAATAAATTATTTTAATGATCTCTTTCACATTGGATTGTTAAAGCAGATACTGAAGAGAAGCTGGTGAAAACCATTGGGAGAGAAGCAGATTTCACTCCAGCTTGCAGTAACATCACACAGGATTTGATCTTATATATCACGTGTAGGATCAGGCCAGTAAGGAGCGGGAGAGAAGACTGCATTTTATCATTCCTAAAAAAGAAAGGCTTTAACACGACCCAGGGATGTGATCCCAGGTTCTCACTCATATTAATAAATCGGACAGTGTTTCTGCAGATGTACAATTTACTACCAGAAAATAGTGGAAACTACAGCTGTCATTGTGTACTTCGTGATGGAACATTGAATTTACATCTCAACATCACTGTGGAAGGTAAAGCAGGGTTTTGTTTTCATTTTCCAAGCATTTTAGCAAATATCCTTTTATGCAAGTATGACAATGTAATATATAGTGTACGACGACAGTATACAGTGTTGATTAGATATTTACAGATCTTTTCATCCGTTTTGTTTGCTACGGAGAGTTGAACTAGTCTGGCTAATTTAAGGAAACTTTGAAAAATATATCTTACAGTATTTGTTGACTCTTTTAGACGCTTACACACATTATAATGCTTTTCGACAATTTCTTTAACAATGGGATTTTTAAAGTATTTGTTAACCTCAGATTTTTCATTTATTATACTAAGTTTCACAACAGAAGACCAGTGGAGGTAATTTAGGAGGACAAGCTTTATTGTATGAAAGTCAAGAAGGAAATCTAAAGAAATCAGCCAGAGAATTCTGGACCCTGTCAAGTGTGGTTGTTTGCCACACTTTGCAGATGCCTAAAGGTGGTTATTTATTTAAGCATTATATGGACGTGTAAACCGAGTGAGAATAGACTGAAGAAGGAGACAGGTTCAGAGTCCCTAAGAATGTTAAAAATCTTGTGTATCAAACAAACAATTGAAAAACACCTTGCAAAAATGCTGATTGAATCTGCTGTATCTTTCATTATTGTTACAGAAACAAGTCTGATATGGTCTATAATAATGCTGCCCATGAAAGGAGCCATTCCTAATTTGTTTCCAAATGCTCTCAGAGACAAACACCTTTATTACATTATGGGTTAAAAGTTAAAGTTTGCAAGTCAGACAAACACATCCTCACAATGAATTTATTTCCTGATCCTTCTTATTAAGATATATTACTGCACTTAGAAAAATACTTTGAATTATAGTAAAGGAGCATTATTTGAATCTGTCAGATTGATTGATTTTAGATTTTTTACAGTGGTCATTACAAACCTCAGTTGCATCTCATTGAGGGAAATTGGCTACATCCCTAAACTATCAAGACTTTTGGAACAAAAGCCAAACCATTTGACTCAAGTAATAAGATTTTCAGAGGAAAAATAAAGTATCCAAGTTTCCATTACCTAATTACGCAAGTTGCAATAATGAAAATAAATTTGCAAAATGGAAACACTGCAACTTAAAAATCTCATGTATTTTGATAAAACGGTTGTATGAGTTGATTAGTTGTTTTTTTCCCGATTCATATCAAAATTCTTATATTTCGCAAAACTGCGACAGAAAACTTTTTATCGCATCACACATGATAAAAAGTGATCTGCAGCTGGACCTTACTGCCTCGTAAATACGGCTAAAAAGACCGGCAGTATGTGGAAGAGGATGAGGCCCTGAAGTTTGGGTATATCTCATGCATCTCCCACTGCCATTGGATTCGTTGTACCGCAATTGCGGAACTATATATTTTAAAATTTAGGAGAATATTGACATAGTTTTGGGCACTTTTGTGATGAAAACACAGCTAGTAAGGTTATTATTATTATTAGGTGATTACAAAGTCACATCCTTTATACCCAAGACAAGAGAAATATAAATAATAAGTGAACAAACAGTCTGAATCTTTTTGGTAGTTGGTGGTTGATGTTTACAAGAATCGGTTTGTTGTTACTGGTACCATCTTGCAAACAGCCTCAGCAGAGAACATCTACCCTTCACAAAGTTCATAACCACACTACACACAAAGTTCAGAGGCATAAAACAACCCCTATAGACAGCCCTAACAATTCATAAACATGATCAAACAGTAAAGAAAAATAAGTTTGGAGAAAAGCTTTCCACAACAAACGTAAAGAAGCACATTTACAAAAAAAATAAGCAAATGCTCTGAATTTTAATAAAGTAAGGGAGACATTTACAAAATGTCTCATTCATTATTTTAGCATTAATTACACTGCATTTATTTGGCTAATCCATGTTAATGTGTAAGAGCTTGATTTGATTTTAAGGAAGTGACAAAAGAGGCTTATAACTGTATATCATTAACTGCTTTTATTTTTAAGGGGATGAAACCACCACCAGTTCGACAAAACCACATCTCAACATGGATCTAACTTCTGCAACTGAGGTTCTTTTACTGGTTTTCTTTATTATAACTGGAATCATTCTGGGAGTTTGCTATGGAAGCATTTTCCACCAAAGGTAAGATGCTATGATATTACCAGGAATTTAATTAACTGGAATAAAATGTATATTTGGAGAACACTTTGACTGAGCTGCTTTTTGCATGTTTATATTTCGCTTTTACAAATAAAACATGTATATATTCTTTAAACGAAAACCAAACAGATTAAATTGTGATTATAAAGTGCATGTTTTATGTTTATTTGTTGTCTTTTTTTACTAAAGATCACGACTGAGACCCCCAGACTGGCATAAAGTGAATTCCACAGTACTCTTCAAGGTAAAATGCTGTAAAACCCATATTAGTTGTCTTCTTTTGGATCTTTTACCATGAAAGTATTTCTTGTACTTTTGTTTTTTGACAGGAAGCAGTCGATGTTGAGCTGTCCCACCTTACACAGGAAGAGAAGGGGCTTTATTCTAACGTCAAAATGTTGTTGTTAAAATCGAAGTAATGTGAATGAAAGAGATTTGACAAATTAAGGGAGCCTTTCGCTTCCATCAGGATTTAAAAGTACAAAATCCAAAAGTAATTGTGCTAAACATCTTAAAAGTGTATTTTTATAATTTGGTTTTCTGTTTTTATGTAGATTTTCCTCACATTTGTTGCTCTGGAGTTTACTCTGATTAAAAGATATGGATATGATATTCCTACACAGTTTTTTTTTTTCTTTTAACATTCTTCCTATAGCATGGAATGGTTATACAGCTTTGATGACTATTTAGTAAAAGAAAGTGTAACTGATTTGTTTTTTTTCAGGCATTATTATCTGTTCTTGAAGCCACATTTCACCAAAAATATGATCAATATTTGGTCAAATGTTTCTCAGCAAGTTGCATGTGGAATATACATTTTTAGCCACTAGTTTCTGAAATCAATGCCTGGATGTTTTCTTGGTAGAACCAGACATGTATTAAAAGATGCTGTTTTCCTGTGTGGGTAACAGAACCTGTGTAGTTTTATTCTGCTAAAAAAATAAAAAAATAAAAAATAAAAAAAAAATAAAAAGTTTATTGAGAATTTTTTTGACTGTGATCTGTGCTATCAAAAGAAAAAATGGGAAGGTTTCAGGTCAGATAAGGACATCCTAGTTGTGAAGCACGGATGTGGCAGCATCTGCTGCGGGAATGACTGGTTACCTTTACTAAAATGATGATATCATCAGGAAAAACATAATGTGGAATTATTTAGGCAACTTCAATCATGAAAAGAAAAATGGCCACACCTGGGTCTATTAAATGCACATGACCAAACTAACTGATCTAAAACAGAAGATGGTTAGTTGTATTTAAAAACATTGAAAAAATGTAGCTACTACTTTGACTAATATATTCTTTTTTAAATTTAGATAAACCAATCATGCTTTTATTAGCAATGGTTGCATGTAGCTTCCTTCAAGCTATTAATAAAGTTTCCTTTATCCATTTTCTTCTACCCAGTTTTGTGCATTTATTTTGCATTGACCACTTTTTAAGGTTTACCACGAGAGTAGGCATGGAAAATGTTATGCACTTCCTTTTTTTCGTGGGTCTTCAACTAGATCTTCCTTTTGAGAGAACAAAGGGTTTGTTTCGCTGTGAGGTTTTGACTTCTGCAGCTCAAGTCGAGTGCAAAGGGGTAAGTTCCTCCTCAAGACAGCTCAGCTCAGTGTGTCAGCTGAAGGTTCGCCAGTGCTATGGTGGATGGATGGAAACCTCTATTGGCTCTGCTTCTGTCAAAGGTGGGCAGCTTTTCTCTATCTCATGCTGTTCTGTTCATTTTAGTTATTCTGCGCATTTTAGTTTGATAGAGTAATCTATAACTATTTAACACGTTGTTTTCCTCCTTCATAGGAACGAGCCAGCTGCAGTGTCTCTGTGACTTAATGTTAGGTAGTTACACCAGTATGTGTAAATGCATAATGTGGTTTGTTTTCCTCCTACAACTTACGCTCTGCTCCTTGTGCAAAGGTAAAATATACAACATATATATATAAAATTATAGAAAAGTGTTCTGTTGTCTATTTTAATGCTGTAAAAGAAACAAGCAATGTTCTATTTTTCTCTTTTACATTAAATTGTTATAAATAAATTATTTTAATGATCTCTTTCACATTGGTTTGTTACAGCAGATGCTGTAGAGGAGCTGGTGAAAACCATCGGGAGAGAAACAGATCTCACTCCAGCTTGCAGGAACATCACACAGGATTTGATTGTGTTTGTCACCTGTAGGATCAGGCCAGTAAGGAGCGGGGGAGAAGACTGCATTTTATCATTCCTACAAAAGAAAGGCTTTAATGTGACCCAGGGATGTGATCCCAGGTTCTCACTCATATTAATAAATCAGACAGTGTTTCTGCAGATGAAGAATTTACAACCAGAAAATAGTGGAAACTACAGCTGTAGTTGTGTAGTTCATGGTGGAACATTGAATCTACACCTCAACATCACTGTGGAAGGTAAGGGAGGAATTTGTTTAATCTGAAAAAATCTAAGTGAGGTTTTATCTCTACCATAAGGAATTGCTCTGGCCATACACAGAGAACAAATATATTTTCATGTAAAAATATTCCTTCCCCATCTTTTTTTTTTTTAGTCAGCACCATATCATAATCCACATGGCACATCACTCTTTATTTACAGTACTATCACCAAAAAAGACACCAAAGCTGTGATTAAAGGGTTTATAAAACAAGAACATGTAATGGGTCCAGTCCAGACCTAAGAGAAATTTCGAATCAAGATTTTTGTCACTGTTAAAAATACAGGCTATGCAGTCTGAGAGTAAGTTTCAGCTACTTAGCATAAACTTTCAGACTTCAGAGATAGAACACTTGTAGAGATGTACCCAAAGAAGTTACAGCTGAAATAGCAATAAGGTGGTTCTACAAGGTTTTACCTCACAGGGATCGAATACAAACTTAAATGAATGGTTTTTTTTATAACAATGTAGTGTTTTCCTTTTGCTTTACAATATTGCACAGCTTCATATCACTTATAATCTCTATGAAGTCCATTTAAAGTTTTTCTTTAAACTGAACACTGGAAAAAGTTAAACTAATTAGTTATCTAATGCATTGTATAATAAACTGGTATCCAGACAGTTGAGATGTTCTAATACCTTGTCTTACTTTTTTAGATAATGTAAACAACACGAATTCTACAGTGACATCAACTGTTCATACAGATGTATTCTATGTAATTGGAGCAGTTGTGCTGTTTGTCATTCTACTGGGAGCCATCACTGGATTTATCTGCAGGAAGAAATGTAACAGGTAGGAAATTAGCATGCTTCTGATTAAATGTGCAATCAAAATCAAAGTGTTATTGAATATTACGCATTCATGATATACATAGGCGCAGCAGTTTCAATACCTTATCAGATTACAACCTCAAAAAAATACTAGAAAGACATGGGGATGGGGCAGGTGTTAGTGGGTAATACAGCAATTTCTATGACTGTGTCAGCCTGAGTTTAAAGCTTTCCCAAACTCTGGTGTTGCTTTGTTCAATATTAATTAATATAATTTATTTGACAATAGACTTCAATTATTGTCCTATAAGTACTACTGACCCCAACAAAAACCTTTAAGCATGGGCTCATTATCATGATCCACATTGTGGATCATAAGGAGGATGTACTGTATATGATTATCCTCCTCATTACCAGCCAAGGAAATCCATGTGAGGTAATCTAAGATTAGGTTCTACACTTTGGATAAAAATCAACATCAACAACTTGATCTCCAGTTCCTTTGATCTCCCTTAGAACCATAATGGCTTTCATTCATCACTGGGCCTTGCCGTACCCCCTAGTAAAATAATACTTTCGTGTTTCCACATTTCTATATGTGACTGCAAGGCTTCATTGCTATTTTTTGTTGGCTTTGCTTTTTTACTTGCTGCCTCTTAATTTATTTCTAGAAACTAGAAACACCATATTTCCCTTAATTACTTCATGAAACTTTAAGGCACACCGCTGACTTTGTGACCTAAAGAGTTGACGCATATGAGTTATTTAAAATCCTCAGGTCAATATGCAGCACTTGACACAATCAATGCTATGAGCGGTGCTCCCCTCTTGAAATACCGCCAATGTAAGGCAGTATTTAATAATGGAAGAACTTATCGCTTTAAGGCCACAGGCTCTTATATAGTCATGGAGCTAAGGCTTTTGCTCTTCTATTGTTCCGCCTACTGGACTACTGGTCATGGCTGAGTCAAGGAAAAAGTTTAAACCTTCTCGGGCTAAAAAAAAAAAAGAAAACATGAAATAGATTGTGTGCGAAGAAAAGCAAGAGACGATCTTGGAAAGGAGTTTGTTCGTTGGAGCAGGCCGAAAGAAGAAGCCGGATTTAAAACCAATTCTCTTTTCTCAACCTTATTATTAGACTGGTAAGTTAACACTTTGTTCCTAGTATACAGTCATTTATCTTTGTAATTATCTTATTATCGATGTTTAGTAGAAACAAAATATGGGCAGCTATAGGTCTTGTGCCCCTAGTGGCCAACAATTACACGGTTGTAGGAGATGGAAATTCAAGAAGAATAAATCTGCTGTCATACCATTTCTTCCAAAAGACAATTGAAGCATTCCCCCTTCTAACCTCGCCCCCTTATCTTGTATTAGTAAACCATTATCACAAATATCGGGGTAAGAACACCCCTCTCTCTAAAAGCTTAATAGTGTGTAATCACCATGCAAAAATGTGTTTCTTTTTTTTTCAGCAGGGAAAAAGCATAGACTGGTTCTTGTACAGGATGTGTCTGGCATTTACACTGACTAAAGGCTGTTCAAGATAGGAATTACGATAGCTAAATGCCAGATCCATTTTCTAGTATGTAATAGTGCTGACTAAACAGCCTCTACTTATATAGTGCTTTTTCAAATCAGGGGACACCGGAGGGTTCTACACAACATTAATTTATTGACCCATTAATTCATGCACACACTGATGGTGGCAGGCTACATAGTCACAGCTTCTCTGGGACTCACTGACAGAGTGACACTGGCCCTCTCAACATTATCATTAGAAAATGCGGGTGAAATGTCTTGCCGAAAAACATGATGAATATGAAAGCCGAAGCTCAAAACAGCGACCCTCTGATTGCAGGGTAAACTCTCGCAACCAACAACACTGTTGCCCCCAGACTACTCACTCCAGTCATTTCTTAACTTCCTGATTTACATAAATTCAGGAAATTAATTTAACACTGGTTTGTTATTGTGTCTCAGCTATTTTGATTTGATCTAGTTGGAATTATTACAATTTTCCCACCTCACAAATGGGTCCTTTAGCATTTTACGGATTTGAAAGTAGAATATAGATGTTTTTTTCTTTTCCATGTCCGAAGCTGTTAAAGATTTCGCTTTTGCACACAAAGAAAATACACCTTTCATTAGTAAAATTTAAATCTCTTAAACTTTTAAACTTTCAACCGAATGTTCCCTGTTGACAAGTTAGCTTGTTAAAGAGCTTCTACAGCAAAAAAATAGACTATAATGATTACACCAATGGTCTAGAAAAGGGTCTCGAATTGTTTTTATTTTGGTCTTGACACCATATCCCTTTTGGTACTATTGTCACACGTACTGCTTATGTGTTTGTGTACCTCTCTGTTTCTGGTGTGTTTCTTATGTTTGTTTCTACTGTAACACACATTTTTCAGTCTTGTTTTTTAAACATATATACCATTTTTTTAATAAATAATTAGGGTGTAACAACAATGTATGATCTACCAATATGTTATTTTACCAATTTGTAAATGGCGTATTAATCTTTTATATAATAAACATCTACAGTAAATATATTGGTATGCCTTTTAACTTTAAAATGTTTTTATTCTCTAATTTCCCCAACTTTGGGAATGTTGGCATTTTATAGGTTATCTGCTAACTCACGTAGACTCTACAATGCAAATGAAGTTAACCAGATCATAGAAGTTTGAGGCGATGTATGATGAATGTACTGTCATATCTGGTTTACTTTGACACATGGCACACATCTAAATTACAGCAAAGCAAACACCCTTTCCCCTCATTGTCAGCTGTATGCCAGGTATTGAGTGGAAAGTTTCACCAAACCACAGCAGCAAAAACAAAAAATGCCCTGGGTATTTATTTACTCATACAGTATAAAGAAAAGACACAGTCTTTATCTACATTTACATCCAAGCTTGTATGAAAGTCAATATTTTCACTGATCTATACTATGAAAGAAAAAGACATTTAATTTTGACACTTAGTGATAATTTCCCTCTGTTTTTGTTCTAGACGTAGAAGACGTGAAGTGACCATAACTGTTCAGCCAAACACGGTATTGTACACGGTAAAACTATGTATTTAAGACACTTACACCCACCACTTATTTCACTGATGAAACATTTATTTTTGTTTTGTTCAATTTCTTGCAGGAAGTTGAGGACATTGACCCGTACAGGATCTTCAAAGAAAATGAGCTTTATTTAACTTCCGTTATACACACCAGCACATCCACACGTAGTCTGATTGGCATCGGAATGGATAATCCAAGTCCAGTGACTACTTTGTAGAAAAGTTATGTTCTAATGAACTTAATATCAGTGTATTTTTTCTTTAAAAGTTATTTGTAAATATGTATTTAATTTTTTCTGTATTAAAGTAAAGCGTTACTAGAATAACACTTTAAAAACAACTCAGAGCTTTGTCCTACTTTGACCTCACACTACTCTTGAACTGATATAATCTTATTTGGTATAACTGGTTAAATTTTGGGGAGAGGTAACTTAGGTTTTTTTTGGGTAATTTGAATATCGACCACTCCCTCAGGCATCAGGTCTATGCGAGATCTAAGGCTGACCAGCAGATTCTAAACATGTTCTTACTTCCTGTATGAACTTCCTGTTCTTAGCCACATAGACCACATGGCCCTCTCGCCTGCTTATGTGAAACTGGAGGTGCAACCTGTTCACACTTACGTTGGAGTGTGCAGCAGATTTTGTTGACGAAGACTACCCTGCAAACACATGCCGTGCATGAATGCATTAACTCAAGGTCCCTATTCTGACTTAACAGACTCCTGTTTTTGTCCGTGTATTGTTCCCATAAAAAAATTATATATTATTTTAACCTTCTCATCTTCTCATAGGCAACCTTTTTCATCATTCTGCAGTATTTGTTAGGTCAACTTCTAATGTTATGATCTCTCTTATGCTGCCATCAATGCCTTTGTTTATAGATATTGGAGCTTGGCCTGTTTTTTCATTGTAGTCCTGTTTCTCTGACTGTGACCAATTTTATGTGCTATCTTCATCCTCTGACATGGGAGCTTGCTCTGAGCTCATCACAGCCTGGCTGTGTGTTTCCTGGACGTGGCCGCTTGTGGAGCTGGTTGACAGTTGCCTTTTGTATCTGCTTGTTTTTCTATGTCTGCTTCTGTCTCCTTGAACCCCATTCAGCGTCTGCAGATGGCCGCTCACACTTAGCCTGGTTCTGCTGGAGGTTGCTTCCTGTTAAAAGGGAGTTTTCCTCTCCACGGTCGCTATAAGCATGCTTGGGGTTAGGAATTGCCTTTGAGTCAATGAGTGGATTCAATCAGCTAGTTTTCCTTGGATAGAAAACTTTGAATCAATTTGACTGTATGATCTGGTTGAATTGTCGCTGTAAAGTGCATTGAGATGAATTGTTGTGAATTGGCGCTATATAAATAAACTGAATTGGATTGAATTAACTTTTGAACATCATCTGTCTTATAGAATCAGCAGTGACAGTGGATAATTTCTGTAAATGATTGATGTTGTCTAACTTGAGGTGCCATAGTTAAAAAATTCACAATAAGAAGTCCTCTTAACTAACAGATCAGATTACCCTACAGTCCCAATGTTGCAATCTATTGTAATCTATTATGCAATTAAATGGTGGTATAACTTATCATTTTATCAAGTAACTTTGTGTGTTCCATGAACACATATCCAATTGGATGTGTATTAGGAAAACAATTGAAAGTGCGACTAAAGGTCAAGTCACGGCCATCCGGTTTACTCTGCACACATATGGGAAAAAATGCAACAACTTTTAGTCAAATCTAAGAATGTACTAACAAAAAATATTCAACTGCAAGTCAAACATGTTTCCGTTGAAACTCTAGCTTAAATTTGTAAAACTACACAAAACTACTACAATATGTACACAAAGAAAAGAAATGAAAATGGTTGAAAAACAATCAATAAACAGACACTACAGTATCTGAGTTAAGGATGCATTTAATGCTGGACGATCAACATTGTTCTTAAGGAGTTTGAAGTTGGGGCAAATCAGCTTTAAAATAAGTTGCCAATCTAATTTAGCTGTTTTGTTGCATTAATGTCTACAAATACCAGGATTAAACATTTACATAATGTTTAACTTGTGTTTTTTGTAAGCCCGCCTGGATTTAGAATGCAGGAGATATACAATATATAAACTTTTAAAGCACTGCTTCTAACAGAAATGGCTTTCTCAAAAGCCGAGGGCAATATTTATACACTCTACTGTAGCTCCGTCAAGGGGACAGAGTAACCACTTTGGAAAGCCCCCTAGTTTGGTTACTGCACTTAGATGTTGTTTCTAAGTGCAGCAGCACCATCTTTTGGATATTATCTAAAGTACTGGGAGCATAAACTTGAATGTATTTAACTCTTCTGCATTTGGAGCTTAACTGTTTTGATTATTGAACCACAATGAATGATAACCTTTCTACAGAGACAGCAGGTGTTAACTCAGTGGCTTACATTGTTTCTGTGATCTGTTCTTTCAAAGAAAAATGTTTTATATTTAGGGAGAATTTCACCTCCTCTTGTGTTATTTTGAGAGAAGAGAGTTTTTGGTTTGGTTAGCCCACAGCCTTTTACTGCTTCTGCCATGTTTTGCAAGCATTTTTTGTTGGTAAAGGTAATTTAAATAATTTCCTTTACATTGCATGTAAGTTTTTTTTTAATCTAAAACCATCAGTTTTAGTTCAAATTAAATACAATGTAATTATTTTTCACTCAAGTTTTCCCCTCATATGCAGGGACCATAATTTCCCTTTTTGAAGTAATACTGGTTAATAAGATCAGAGCGAATTTTAAAGAGTGACCATAGTCCTATTTTCTTCCTCTTTACTGCAAGAAAACAATCATCTTAAATGTCTGTTTTGGTCTTTAACTGCGTCTTATAAATAGATAAGTATTTTATCATTTAGTTTCTGTAAAATCTTTCAATTAAACTGTCTCCAGATGATTACGTTTTAATAAACTAACCAGGAGTTCCTTTCATATTTGAAGCACCTGTTTAACGTCTGAAGCATCTGGATCATCTTTACCCGGATTTGCCGCCACTACAGTGAGTAATTTCTTTGTCATTAACCACTTTGCACAACAGTAGAATTTCTGCCACCTGATTGCTGCAGAGAATATGAAGATTTTTTGTGGTAATCTATGTGCATAAAATAAAACATAAGCAAAAGTGTCTTTACACAACAGTTGTCTAAGGTCTATGTGTACTTTGCAGTTCCTTAAAGTAATAAAAAAAATAAAAAATCAATCCCTGGAATTGAATAAGGCCAAACATACTGAGCAACTTTACCATAAACCACAAATAAAACCTTCTCTTCTGTATCATTAACAAGCTATAAACCCCTTTCTGTTGCTAAGTTAACGTTCGCTAACTCTGTAGGAAGGTTAATATTGTTTTTGGTTCAATACATATAACAGCTCAAAGAGCAGAAACGTTAAGCCAGACATACACTGTACAATATTTCCAATCGTTGCACGCAGCTACAGCTCAAACTGTACGACGAAACTGCAAGGTTTAATAGTTCAAAGCTCACAATGTTTGTTCTTACACTGTAAGGCCCGACGCTCTGATGCAATCTACCTGCTCACACTGCATATCCAAAAACCACATGTCGGACTGAGCACTGATAGATGTCGCTGATCAGACTCATCAATCTGGAAGAAGAAGATGAAGAACTCCTTTGTTCTTTCAAACATTTTTGATTTTCTCCTGACCTTATGATTTCTGATCGGGAGGTTGTCGTGAGAGTCTTATAGCCCCTCATTACCCCCTGTATATTACACAACACATGAGGCACAATGAGGCAGAAACTCTGCCTGAACATAAAAAATTCTCGCACGACTGGAAAATCATCCCAAACAGGGCAAAAAAATCGTACAGTGTATGCCCGGCTTTAAATAATCCCTTTATGCAGCAGCTATTCTAGAAAGTACCCAAAAGATGGCACTATTGCGCTTAGAGAACATATAGGTGCAGCAACAAGACTAGATCTTAATGTGCCTTATTGTGATTAAGGATCTTAACTGTTGGTTTACATAGTCACTTACAACGTATTTAACAAAAAATAATTAATCTTAACTGTTGCCTTTTACTATATATTTCCTTCCAGCAAAGAGACAAAAAATATTTCTCGTTCTTCTTGCTTAGGATGAAGAGAACTCATATGAATTGTACAGGGGTCTTCAACGGCCAACAAGTGATCACTACCAAACGATATCAACTGTTCACCATCTCAAGAAAACCAAACAACCTCCACTACCAATAGAATAACTGTCAACCAAGATACAGTATATTTGGAATTGTGAAAACTATGAAAATCTTTTAACTAAAAACATGTCAAGATAAACACAGTTTTTAAGAGCATTATTCTTTATTTTGTTCTTATGTTTGGTAAGAAGGATACACTGGAATAAAACTTGTTAAGACTTGTTTACAGGGACACCTTTCCAGTTGTCACTTTTTAATTATGAACTGTAAAAGTGCTGAAAGCCTAAGTACTTTTTCGAATTCTAATTTAAATTCTAATTTAAAAAAACATTTGTTTAGAGCTGCCTTTGACTTTTGAAGTTAAACTGTTAACTGAGGTATTGCTAGTTTAACATTGTGGTCCAATTGTTTTATTTGTCTTACACATGTTTTTTTATTGTTATTTGCTTTCATTTAGCTTTTATTTTTCTTCTATTTTGTTATCTAATTTATGTGAAGCAATTAATTGCCCATGTACTGAATTTTGCCATACAAAGAAACTTGCCTTGTCTTTGAATAAACTTTCACCTTATAAATGTTTTTTTTAGTTTTTCTTTGTTCTTAAACTGCTACATAAAAAAATGGATAAATTGGCATCTTAACTTTTTTTCTCTCGATCAAACAGTCTAAAATTAAAGGACCTGCCCTCTTTCAGTCAGAATTTGTGTTGTGTATTTGTATCTTGTCTCTTGGCTTTTCTCATATCTAATTTTAGTCCGATAAACATTACTTTTCACTGTGTATGCAAAAAAAGTTATATACTGCTGCAAACATTTCAGAGTGTGGTTAAAAATGCAGATTTTATAACATTTTGTCTCATTTGACTGGTAAATTAAACTTCTATCCTATCTCCAACAGTAAGACAAAAAACAATTACAAAACAGAATTAAATAAAGCCAAGTAACCTGAGAAGTATCTGTGATTTATGTTAAACCCAAGATGTTTGAAAGGGGTCATAGAATGATTATATAGGGTATTTGCTGCTGGTCCTTAAGGTCTTTGAATAGGGTGTGTAACATTGGTTGGCATGAAAATGGCATATTTGCTGTTCTATGAGCCCTAATGCAAGCCTGGTTAAAAGCCCTAGAATGAAACGACAGGTTTCCTTCCTTTTATGATATGCTCATGAATATTTAGATGAGCTGTGCTCTGATTGGTTTGTTTACAGTGAGCAAAGCTTCTGAGCAAAGACGCATCATAGCAAAAAGCACTCACTCACTGAAACATCAAGTTGTAGAAATGGTAGGGTGACCAGACGTCCTGTTTTTCCCGGTCATGTCCTAATTTTCATACCAAAAAAAATGTCTGGGGGGAATTTCAAAATCTTCCAGGATTTTGGTCAAATACAGTGCAGCACGGAGTCGAAAACAGGGAGCCAGCGGGGGACGACTTGGTGACTGTAGCCTGGACAATAGCAGCCCTGTGCATCCCCCTGCCTGCCTCACCAGGCATATCGTCACCGGGTCGGGTTCGGGCGCCCCGTCCCCCGCTAGGGCCACCATTGATATGCTAGCATTGCTATCAACAGCTTAGCGACAAAATATTACTTACAGCTTGCGGTTGTGATGGCCTTACGGTCGGAACAGCTGGTCTGTATATCAATTTCAGGGTGAGACCAAAATACAGGCCAGAATCAAATAAGGCAAAATCCCTGAATTGACGTCAATTCTGCACTTCATTTGAATTCATTTGTTTTATGGTGTAAGTTTATAATTGTGAGATTTACAGAGAAAGGAGGTGCCGATGGGGTTTGAACTTCTCTGTACGTCCATTTCACCCACTGAACTATCATTATTCATCTCTGACAATGTAAGCTTGGTTTTGCATTCTATGACCCCTTTAACATGAACCACTATCAGAACCTTCCCTTTAGTAATCATTTGTTAAGCAGCTTTAACAGCTGTTTAATGTTTCCTTTTAGCAGAAAGACCAAACATTTTTTTCTTAGTGTGAAGAGAACTGATGAATTGTACATTACTTTAATGATTCTGCCCTTTCTGGACTTTTTAGTTCCCTTCCTCCCTAGAGTCTCCTAGTTTATGGTTTCTGAGTTTTTTGTTGATCATTTCTGGTTTATGGCTTCTGTAATTTTCATTCTTCATGCATTTTTTCAAGAAATCATATCTTTCTCTTCAGCTCTGTGTTTGGATCTTCAAAAAGTAAATGAAAAACCTAAAAAATAAGAGGAATGTGATGCTTCACTGCTTTAGCAGGTGGATGACGGACGATATCACACCTTGAAATGGTTTGTCATGCTTTGTTATGAGCAGCTTACAGTAAACCACCCCTTAACCACAAATATACATTAATGGACTTGTTCATCGGAACATCTTTCTCACTTAACATATATACATATCTGATGACCCCATTGCAAACATGACATTTACATCTTCAATCTTACCAACCCACTATAGTTGAAAAACACAAGAAGGGAAGTCCTTTAGTGTGACCTAAAAGCAGAGCCAACTAGACTTCTTATCAGTTTTTTGTTACTTAGTTTTTTCTTTCTTATGTTTTTCAACACCTATCCAGAAGTCATTCTCCTTTCTGGGGGCTAACACTAAAGTAATCTTTGCCATTAAACACATGGAGCTCAATTCTACTAGATGGATTCCAAGTCAAATTCCAGTCAATGGCCCCTCTGTTGTTCTAATGGTAAATGGAATCTGTTGTTTGGTGAATCTGAATCTTAAGGAGTCTGCGTATATTCTTTTGGAACAAGTTTCAAAACAGGATTATATATGATGCCTAGTTTCCTTTCCTTGCCCCAACTTGATTTTCCTTCTTTGATCTCTGCTGCTCTTATGTTTAATTTAAATTTAACATTTATTAATGCTGTAAATAAAAAAAATTAATTAAGCTTTCAGTGTGCTGTTATTCTGCTCTACCGTTAGACCTTTATTAATATTAAGAAGTGATTCCTAGAGATGTGGCAAAGCCCTATTGAAGTGACATATTAAAAGGTAATAGATCATACTGGAGTCATAATCTATGTCAGCCTCCAGGAAGTTGTCTTCTTGTATTATCAGCTTGCATTAATCTCTGTACATGAAAACCACACAGCGAACATGACAGTCACATCTTCAGGCCTACTGACCCATTGCTGTGGCAGAAAACAAGGCAAAAAATCTTCGATCTATGGTGTCTGATCTAAGAGGCTCTAATACAAAAATCTGTTATTTGTTATTATTAATAATATTAGATTCTTAAACAGATTCTAAACCCACAGTCTAACTGCAATGATGGGATCTGCTGAGATGCTTTCATTTTGTGTTTTCTGTTGTTTTAAAGAGAAAAGTGCTCCAGTTAACACATTCGTTATGTATTTGAAAACCACAAAGCAATTCATATCTTCAGTCCTGCTAACCCACTATTGTTGCAGTAAACAAGACAAGACGTCTTTAATCTATCTTATCTGATCTAAGTCGCTTCACTGCATAGATCTATTATCAGTTGTTCATAGAAATAAAAAAAAAAATTATTAAACAAATCTCTAAACCCACATGATAGTTAAACTCCAATCATAAGATATGATGTGATGCATCAGTGTTGTGTGTTATATTGTTTTAAAGATAAATGCCAACTATTCAGGTTAACACATTTTTTAGAAAGGTTTCACATCCTCTTTGAGGTCGGCCCCCAATGTTTAGAGTTATGTTTAAGAAATCTCTCTTTAGTGCAGCATAGCAAACTCTACCATGGCAGCAGGTCGGATGGATGCACTGACAACCAGCTTTTTACTGCTTCTACCAAGTTTTGCAAGCTTCTTTGACAGTAAAGGTAATATAAAGAGATTAATGTTCAATAAGTTGCATTTTGAGTTGTTTTAAATTAGAAGCTTTTAGTTTCTGTTGGGTCTGAATCATTTTAACTGATTAATTCATATTTGCTGTTTGCAGTAACTCTTTTAAAAACGGTCAGAAAAGAACCAGATTCCACTCCAATCTACACCAATGAATCATCAAATATCATCATCATTATAGCGTGTCAGATCAGAACAGAGAGAAACAAAGGAGAGGAGTGCCGTCTGCTGTACAGGGATGGAGGCGACTTTGTTCATCAGTGTGACTCCAGGTTCACCCTTAAAACATTGAATCACACTGTGTTTCTGCACCTGACCAGTTTAACTGCGGCTGACAGTGGGAACTACACCTGTGAGTGTGCAAAACTTGATGGGATATTTATTCTTCATCTCAACATCATAGTTAAAGGTAAACATATTTCATATTACCTGAAAAAGTTTAATTAGTTCAGTATTCTCAAATATTTTTTTATGTCCCAATCTAATGCTTTCCTGAAGATAATGGAGAAGATGAGAATGAGAGATGCTTTTCAGAAGTGACCCTTCCTTCTGCTTTGACTGCTGCTGCTCTCTTATTTACTATAGTTTTAATTATTGTGGGATTTGTTCACAGAAGACATCTACCCTGGTGAGAAACTAATTTATATTTCTAGGTTCCTCTTCTACTATGAGTTTTATATTAGTGCTAAAACCATTAGTCTTCTATGTAACCTTTGGTTTCTACCTACATTTTATAAATAATCATTCAATCTTCTTTAAAGGAAAATTATGATTTTTTGAAACAATTTGATCATACAACCTCCAGATGACTACATTTCAATAAACTAACCTGGAGTTTCTTTCATATTTAAAGCACCCGTTTAAAATCTGAAGCATCTGCATCATCTGTACAAGGATCTGTTGCCCCTAAAGTGAGTAATTATTTTATAAATAACAATTTCTGAGCTTCATAGAATGCTTTGCTCAAATTCTTTTGAATCCTGCAAAAGCCTTATTATTTTCTCTTAGCTACTTTTCATACCATTTCAGAGATGGAAAAACATGTTAAGTCCAGCAGGCTATTTTTTATTCAGTCATCTTTTTACTCATCCATTCAGTGGTGGTTTTGATATAGGCCATATGGGCAGTTGCCCAGGGCTGCAATACAAATAGGGTAAATAATTTTATTTATTTTTTTTGGTTGTCTTGTGGAACAGTAGGACAGTTGACTCACTTGCTTCCTACAATTAACATGGAGACTTAGTTTTGTGATCAGCTATGGAATATACACTGCCTGGCCAAAAAAAAAGTCACCGCCAAAAAAAAAGGCCCTTCACTCTAATACTTTGTTGGACCGCCTTTAGCTTTAATTACGGCACGCATCCGCTGTGGCATTGTTTCGATACGCTTCTGCAATGTCAAAAGATTTATTTCCATCCCGTGTTGCATTAAGTTTTCACCAAGATCTTGCATTGTTGATGGTAAAGGCTGACCGCTGCGCAAAGCCCTCTCTAGCACTTCCCAAAGATTCTCAATAGGGTTGAGGTCTGGACTCTGTGGTGGCCAATCCATGTGTGAAAATGATGTGTCATGCTTCCTGAACCAGTCTTTCACCATTGAGCCCGATGAATCCTGGCATTGTCATCTTGGAATAAGGCTGTGCCATCAGGGAAGAAAAAATCCATTGATGGAATAACCTGGTCATTCAGTATATTCAGGTAGTCAGTTGACCTCATTCTTTGAGCACATACTGTTGCTGAATCATCAGATCATAACAGCGCCCCCACAGGCTTGTACAGTAGGCACTAAGCATGGTGGGTGCATCACTTCACCTGCCTCTTTTCTTACCCTGATTCGCCAATCACTCTGGAACAGGGTAAATCTGGACTCATCAGACCACATGACTCTTCCATTGCTCCACAGTCCAATCTTTATGCTCCCTAGCAAATTGAAGCTGTTCGAAGTTGTTTTTCTTCGATTTGATCTCACAACAGGTTTAAGTGATAGCCCAGGGGTGGCAAACTGGTTCCAGAAAGAGCCGCGTGGCTGCAGGTTTTCTTTCCAACCAAGCAATGGCACACCAGACACCAATCATCTCATCAAGTCATCATGTTCAGATTGGACTCACTTGATGAGATGAATGGAGTCTGGTGTGCCATTGCTTGGTTGGAAAGAAAACCTGCAGCCACGCGGCTCTTTCTGGAACCAGTTTGCCACCCCTGTGATAGCCGATCACAATCATTCAGGATTTTTTTCCTGCCACATTTCTTCCTTGAAGATGATGGGTCCCCACTATCCTTCCAGCGTTGGACAGTTCTTAACCCAATTTTAATAGTTTCTGCAATTTCTTTAGATGTTTTCTCTGCTTGATGCATGCCAATGATTTGACCCTTCTCAAACAGAGTAACATCTTTTCCACGACCACGAGATGTTTCTTTCGACATGGTTGTTTAGGAAATGAGAAGAAAGTCATTGCACCAGTTGGGGTTAAATAACTTGTTGCCAGCTGAAAGATAATCGCTCAAGCAGTAATTATCCAATAGGAGGCTCGTACCTATTTGCTTAGTTGAATCCAGGTGGCGACTTTTTTTTTGGCCAGGCAGTGTATGTTCAAACTCTAACATGACAAGGATCCTTGAGTACTTTGCCTTGAGGTAACATAAAAACCCAGAAGACACAGTCCACAGAACTGAATAAAGCCAAATTAGCTGAGCGTTTGTTTGATGTATTACCATGAACCACATCTAGATCTCTAATTTTTTTCATAAAGCTGCTTTAAACTTTTTCTGTCACTTAGTTAATGCCTGTTGTCTCAGTAGGAAGGCTGCTATTTATTATTGGTAAATAACCAAAAAAAGTTTCAAATCCAAATGCAGAACAATTCAATAAATTCAAGTTTATGTTGGAATTATTCTAGATAGTAACCAGAAGATGGTGTTGCACTTAAAGGACATCTGGGTTTATAATCAAACTAGATCTTCGCTGAATTTAAACTGTGTGAACAGACCTTTCTTTATTATACCAAAAACCAAAAAAATAATAAACAAAAAAACTGAGTGACTTAGTATCTTAAAAGAATCTTAATTGATTTCTTTTAATTAACTACTTTGACAACTTTTGAAATGTTACTGTCTCCAGAGAGGCCAAAGGATTTCTGTTTCTCCTTGCTTAGGGTGAAGAAAACTCAAATGAAATGTACAGAAGTCTTCAGCAGCCAACAACAGATCTCTACCAAACAGTTTCCTCTGGTCACCATCAACAGGAAACAGAAAGAACCACAGTCAGCAACAGAGTAAATGTGAACCTGAAAAATCTGGAAATGAGAAGAAACAACGAAATCTATGAAAACCTTTGAACCACAACTGTCAAGATGAGAACTGTTTGATAAACATCAGGCTAAATCATTTTGATATCCCTTATTGAGCAAGATCAAGCCTTCTTCAAATGAGTTTGATGGTAGCATTTTTATGTTTGTTTTTGTTTTGAGAGAATCTTATCATTAAATACAACACGTTTTGGACCATCAATAAAATGCCTTTTTACTGCTGCTGCAGTATCTTTGCAAAGCTGCTAGTTAAAGATGACTGTACAAAGACATTTCCTGTAGAGATCGGCCACATTATAAGACCAGTGTGTTGCAACTATATTCATGACTAAAATCCCATGTCAACTTCCTAAACTAAAATTTCCTCACATTTTTAAGAAGCTTTTAATAACAATGGCTAGTGTGTTGCATAAATACTCTGCTAGATAGGCTTTAGAAAAGGACTTCTCAGTTTAAGCTAGATGTTATTTGTGAAAATTGACGTCCTAGTAGGGAATTATCAGTGCAACTCAATGGACATGTTATAGCATTATGAATGCAAAAAGTGCCTTTTTTCAAACATTTACTATGTCAGATTACATTACTGTGATGCTGTAATGCTTTAGCAGGTGATCGATGGACACCACACATAAAAACGTCAAAATGTCTGGTTTTGAGCAGCTCAAACTATATCGTAACCACAACAGACATAAATAAACCTGTTTATGGGGACATCTTTTCAGCTTTCACTTTTTTGTTGTGTTGTTTAAATAGATGGCATCATCTTTTCTATACAAACTAAAAATGTTTTACATGATTTTCCTTTTGTACATAATTTGTATATTTCTTTGGAAAACTTCTACTACTCTATAATTGTTTTTTGTTTTGTTTTTTGATACATAAAACTTTCCAGAAAGCCATATCTAATGTTATCTTGAGTTGAAGGACCTGTCCTCTTTCCATCAGAGTTTGAACTAACTTTGTGTATCCCAACTTCTTGGCTCTTCTCATGGCTAATTGTAATCTGATTAAACATTCATTATTACTGTAAAACACAAAAAAAGTGACATACTGCTGGAAACAATACATTTTGTGGTTAAAAATGCTGTTTTTATTGTATTTTGCTTTTTCTACTTATAAACATGGTTCTGTTTGAGACATATTAGGGAGCGGCAAGTGACATCATTTTCATCAGCCTGCAGGATGATGATTTCTTCTCCTACCAGACTATATTCAGTGTTCTTTATATTTAAGACCACAAAGCAAATATGACCTTTACATCTTAAATCTTAGCAGCACACTGTAGTTGCAGAGCAAGGAGTCCTCCATCTCTGTAGTGTGACATAAGAACTCAATCTCCGTTCTTCAAGATTAATATTAATAATAGTCAGTTATTTTGGTTTTTAAGCAAACTATTGACCAAACAGGACAATAACTGTAAACTGTAATAATAAAAAAAGCAGAAATATTTCCAGTTTATCTATTTGATTGTTTAATGAGTAGTGTTCATGTAGAGACGTTTCCTTTTTTCATCTTTTTTGTACCATTTTCAGAGATGAAATGTGTGACTCAGTTAAGGGTATAGGGGGTAGTTTAAATGACCTCTTCAGTGCAGCAGTTTAGATGGATGCAGTGAGAATCAGTGAGAGTCTTTTACTGCTTCTGTCATTCTTTGCGGGCTTTTTGGACAGTGAAGGTAACAACAAAGGTAATAAAGAGACCATTTAACTTGATGTTGCGCTTTAAGTTGTGAACTATGAACTTTCATTTTCTGTTAGCCAAGTATAATGAGATATGAATTAGTTTTTATGATTTCAACATATTCATACATATTATTTTTTTACTGTTTACAGCGATTCATATGAAAACAGTGGGGAATGAACCAGATCTTACTCCACTTTGCACTAATAAACAGCAAAAATAATCATACTGATGGTGTGTAGAATCAGAACGGAGAGAAACAAAGGAGAGGAGTATCGTCTGCAATACAGGGATGAGGGCGACTTTGTCCATCAGTGTGACACCAGATTCATATTTAAAACATGAAATGACTCTGTGTTTCTGCACCTGACCAGTTTAACACCAGCTGATAGTGGGAACTACACCTGTGAGTGTTCAAAACTTGATGGAACGTATATTCTCCATCTCAAAATAATAGTTAAAGGTAAGCATATTATTAAATGTCAGAATAAAGTTTTTTTTTTTTTTGTATTTTTCCTAAATACTAATTTCCTAAAAAATAATGCAGAAGATGAAGTTTGGAGTTGTGATCCTTCCTTCTGCTCTGACTGCTGCAGTTATTTTTATACTTTTGGTTATTCTGGGATTTTTTTTTTTTACAGAAGATGTTACAATTGGTGAGAAACATTCAATATCCAAAGCTTTTATTTGTTTTTTTACTTGTATTGATTTATAGAAATGATTTTGATAGGTTTTTCAAAGGATAAAAGTTTCATTGTGAGGAATCTAAACGAGGCTAATCATACAGTTTTGCAGATTTTATCTCGACTTAATGTGATAAATAAAGGAGAGTTTTTTTTTTTTTAGCTTATTATTACCTGTCTAATAAAACAGGCAGTGGTAATGATCTGTATATCTGTATTGGAAATAAAATACATATTGTATTTCTTAACAGAGAGCAATCAGAATCATGAAATTTTTGTCCAAATGAGGTAAATAACACGATAAATAATTGCAGACCATTTTATTATTCATATACTAATTGTTTAAACTCCTTTTTCTTCATGTCTTTTTCTGCAAGATTTGGTTTCAGCTGAGCCGTACAGCACCTTCATTCAAAAAGAAAATGTACTTTATTCAACAGCCTTATTGCACAACTATTAAATTAATTCTGAATATAATAATACCTTGATTTGAGTCAAAGATATTTAGGCAAAATAGCAGCAGCATGCAAACATGGAAGCCAGAAATGGAAATGAATGGGAAATAAACCAAACATGTAAGAAGCCTCAGCATCCTTGAAAAGTATTTGTTGTATTTGGGTGTTTTGAACATGGACCGCCATCTTTGGCAGCAGGTGTGCACAATAAATTGACCAATAAATTGTCAACATGTTTTGTTGGGGGTGTGTCTTCAGAGGGAAGCAGTTTTGGTTACATCAGCAACAGTTGATCACAACACAGATAATAAATTAGATTTTGAAATGCAAAACATTTCCCATCTGTTTCCCTTTATTATATGATACATGTACATGTCGATTACGTTTCTGTTTCAACTTTAATGCTGTTTTCATCTTTAATGATGTGAATACTTGATCTTTAAGAAGCATTCAGCTGTTCTTCAATTCAATCTATTATCTTGTCTGAAATTGTAATTTAGAACAAAAGTAGTCAGATCTTCTCTTTAACAACTGTTTATTTTTTCAAGATTAAATCTTTTTTGTATCATTTATGGCAAAAACTTACATTCTCAACCTACAGTACAACCTAAGATATGCAGAAAGTTTTAAACCAGGGCTAAAAAGAGGACTGATGACAGTAGTTTTACCTATATTATACTTACATTATTCGTATGTGACTGTGAATAACTCTCAAAAGTTATAATAGGAAATTATCATTAATAATTCATGATTTTAGACAAGATAATCCACAACACTGGAACAGTGGGTAATCTTGTCATATATATGTACATGAAAAAACTTAGATCATGTGGCTATCAGCGTTTAATGATTACAACTAACAGTATAGAAATCAACTAATTATTACATCAGTCCATGTGCAAATGAGGATGTTGTTACAACCCCATGGTTGTCCTGTTTCTACTTATTTTTTTGCTCTGCTGCCCTCCTGTGTTTTTTTAAAGTATGCCTATTGTACTGGGACATTTCCTACAGTTCCTCGTTTCCATTTTCTGAACCACTGCATCCCTCTACTGGGGAACTTTGTAAAATGCTTTAGGGTTTACTTGTTTCACACAGCCTGGATAAAGGTTACCTGGAAAGTGGCTCAATCAGCCAGGGGCAGAGCTAGAAGGGGGGCCAGGGGTGCCTGTGATATGCTCAATTGAAATTAACTAACTTGATTTTTCACTTGTTAGTATAGTAACCTTACAACTACAACTAAATTACCAGAAATGAATTATTAATTAATCAGTATACTAACATTAAATAAATAAATAAAAAAAGCATCAGAGTAGGAATAGGCCATTCAGCCAGATCATAAAAGATTGTATTTCATAATAAAAACATTTAATTATATTTTTTTATTCTGCAATTTTGTAGCCTGTCCATTAGATGGTGCTCCAGGCCTGTATCGCCTGTGGGCAAAGCCAGTATATATCTATATATCTAAATTATAGAGAACAGCTGACATTTTAGCTGGATAATTGTGCAGGTTTCCTTTGGATGTAGGGTTGTACATCCAGAACCAGCTGCAAACCTTGTTCTGTAACTTAGTCGATGTGGTAATGTGGCCTTTTTGTTAAGTTTATTGCATGTATTCTAATTTTTGATTTTCTTTATTTTTGAACTTGTTTGCTTGTTTTTTAATTTGGTGTGTTGCATGTTTTTTGGGATTTCGTTTGGAGGCCACATTGCCACTCACACCTGGACACGCCCACAGTAATGGCACAGGTGTTCCCAATCAACCAAGCAGTGTGCCGACTGGGACGCTGATTAAAAAGGCAGCTGTTTGGTTGGGGAGACACACCGGACATGGGAAGGCCGATCTTGGAGGGAGCCGGACGGAGCGGGTGAGAGAGAAGCAGCGGGAGAGGTTTGGGGACTGACGGCAGGAGGCCGCTGGAGCGAGGTGCAGAGACGCGCGCCGGAGCGAGGTGCAGGGACGCGCGCCGGAGCGAGGTGCAGGGACGCGCGCCGGAGCGAGGTGCAGAGACGCGCGCCGGAGCGAGGTGCAGAGACGCGCGCCGGAGCGAGGTGCAGGGACGCGCGCAGGAGCGAGGTGCAGAGACGCGCGCCGGAGCGAGGTGCAGGGACGCGCGCCGGAGCGAGGTGCAGAGACGCGCGCCGGAGCGAGGTGCAGAGACGCGCGCCGGAGCGAGGTGCAGAGACGCGCGCCGGAGCGAGGTGCAGAGACGCGCGCCGGAGCGAGGTGCAGAGACGCGCGCCGGAGCGAGGTGCAGGGACGCGCGCCGGAGCGAGGTGCAGAGACGCGCGCCGGAGCGAGGTGCAGAGACGCACGCCGGAGCGAGGTAAAGAGGCCCGTCATGGAGTGATGCGCAGAGGCACGCTGGCAAGAGGCACGTGTTGGAGGAGACCTCGCAGGCCAGCTACGCTGCGCGTGTGGAGAGGCCCACACGCGCAGCGTGCCGGAACGAGGATCCAGCGCTGGGGTGGAGGCGCGTGTTGGAGGTGACCTCGCTAAGGCCAGCTATGCTGGAGAGGCCCACACGCGCAGCGTGCCGGAACTAGGATCCAGCGCTGGGGTGGACGGTGCCCTCCATTATACCCGCCAAGTGCGCGTCTTTTAACAGACTGGGCCATTGACTCTGCTGCTCTTCACCATCTGGATTTTTATCTTTCGTTTTAATCTTTTCCCTTTTAACTTGTCTTTTTATCTTTTTTCATTGGACTTTAATCTATTAAACTTTTTAAAGCCCTGCTCACAATCGCCGCAGTCTGTTTGGTTTTTATGGGTTTTTTTAAGATGATCGCACCTCTCGGGTGCCACATCAACATCAACTGTTTCTTGAGAAAGGTTATGATTGGTTCTGGCTTGATTAACAACAGGATGACTCTAGAACAGAACAGTAAAATAAAACCCAGTTTATGCGGCAAGCATTCTACGAAATGGTGTAACGATGTTATACCCAGACAGAGGACATCCAAACACACACACCAAACTGTTACAAAAGCATCCACATTAGGCTCAAAGCTGTGAGAACAAAACTTTTGCTTTTTTTGATTTTTTAATGATTTAGTGTTACTGTCTTTTATCAAAAAAAAATGTTTCTAAAATGCTTTCTCCCCTCAAAGAAACAAAATTATTTTATTTCTACTACTGCTGTTGTTTAGGATGAAACTGACACAGATGATTTGTACACAAGTCTTCAGCATCCAACAGACATCTACAGGTGCTGGTCATAAAATTAGAATATCATGAAAAAGTAGATTGATTTCAGTAATTCCATTTAAAAAGTGAAACTTGTATATTATATTCATACATTACATACAAACTCATATATTTCAGATGTTTATTTTGTTTAATTTTGATGATTACAAATGACAACAAATGAAAATCTCAAATTCATCATATCAGAAAATTAGAATATTACTGAAGACCAATAAAA